TCTGGAAATTCATGAGAAGGAGTCTGTGTAGGGCTGCTTCGGGATGAGTCCATGTGAAATTGCATCTGGAAATGCATGAGAAGGAACCTGGGTAGGACTACTTCGGGATGAGTCTGTGTGAAAGTGTATCTGAAAATTTATGAGAGGGAGCCTGGGTAGGGCTGCTTCGAAATGAGTCAGTGTGAAACTGCATCTGGAAACTTATAAGAAGGATCCTGGGTAGGGCTGCTTCGGGATGAGTCCGTGTGAAACTGCATCTGGAAATATATGAGAAGGAATCTTTTTAAGATTTCTTTATGATGAGCCCGTGTGAAGCTGCATCTGGACATTAGAAGGAACCCGTGTAAGATTGCCTCATGATGAGCCCGTGAAAAGCTACATCTGGAAATTTTGAGAAGGAATCCGTGTAAGGTTGCTTCATGATGAGTTCTTGTGAAACTTCATATGGAAATGTATGAGAAGGAACCTGGGTAGGGTAACTTCATGATGACTCTGTAAAACTTCATCTGGAAATGTATGAGAAGGAACCTGTGTAGGGTTGCTTCATGATGAGTCAGTGTAAAACTTTATCTGGAAAGGAGAAGGAATCTGGGTAGGGTTGCTTCATGATGAGTCCGTGTAAAACTTCATCTGGGAAGGAGAAGGAACCTGGGTAGGGTTCCTTCATGATTAGTTTGTGTAAAACTTCATCTGGGAATCATAAGGAACCTAGATAGGGTTGCTTCATGATGAGTCCGTGTAAAACTTCATCTGGGAAGGAGAAGGAACCTGGGTAGGGTTGCTTCATGATGAGTCCGTGTAAAACTTCATTTGGGAATGAGAAGGAACCTGGGTACGGTTTCTTCATGATGAGTCCATGTAAAAATTCATCTAGGGATGAGAAGGAACCTGAGTAGGGTTGCTTCATGATGAGTCTGTGTAAAACTGCATCTAGGAATGAGAAGGAACCTGGGTAGGGTTGCTTCATAGATGAGTCTGTGTAAAATTGCATCTAGGAATGAGAAGGAACCTGGGTAGGGTTGCTTCAATGATGAGTCCGTGTAAAACTGCATCTAGGAATGAGAAAGAACCTGGTTAGGGTTGCTTCATGATGAGTCAGTGTAAAACTTCATCCGGGAATGAGAAAGAACCTGGGTAGGGTTGCTTTATGATGAGAAGGAATCCATGTAAGATTGCTTCATGATGAGCCCGTGTAAAGCTGCATTTGGAAGTCAGAAGGAACCGTGTAAGATTTTTTCGTGATGAGAAGAAATCCATGTAAGATTGCTTCATGATGGGCCCGTGTAAAGATGTATCTAGTCATGTAGGTAGTTGCTCTGTCTTGCTTCGGAAACTAATATTGGACCTGTTGAAAATTATTGATGATAGCCATCTGTTGATTGACCTTTTCTTGAAAAGGAAAAACGTTAGCTGCATGCAATGTCATGATATATGAAATGCATGGTGTAATGATGTTCTCAAAGTAAATGAGATTGTGCCGTATGCATTTGTCATGTATGTGATATGATGCATGAACTGTGAAATGTTGTTGGAATAAATTTCTGTCTTGTAAAATAAATCCTTGACAAATGTTGGGGAGCCTTGGGAAATGAAATCCTGGACTGGTGTTGTGGATGAAGAGTCAGCTCCTCTTCGGACCTTGCTTTAGGATGTTTCCACTGGGGATTCCTGTTTTGTTGATTGAGGAGAAACTCCGATGGGGAATATTGGCTTTGCTTGAGAAGGCTCTATGGAGAGTGTTGATTTCTGCTTGGGGGAAAAGAGTTCAGGAGCCTCAGTTGTTTGTTGCTCTACTGGCGAGTTATCTTGGGGAAGATTAAATTAACTGTTATCTGGTTGTATTCCAGGATTTGTAGAAAATTTCTTAGGGAGAGTGAAGTTAGGCTGTTATCTGGTCAGATTCCAGGATTTGCAGTAACTTACTTGAGAGGATGAAGTTGAATTGATATTTGGTCGGGTCCGAGCTTCATAATAACTTTACTGAAGTTAACTATTATCTGGTCGATTTTCAGGTTTTGCAGTAACTTGTTGGGGATTATAGAGCAGTCTACTGGGGAAGAGGAGTTGCAGTCCCCTGATTTGTAGCAATCGGATAGGCAAACTTAAGTTGGGGAATCTGTAATTTGTTGGGAAAATAAACCCTGTCGCCAATCTGTTGGGGAGGCGTCTTCAGAGATTGAAACCCTGGCTGGGGGTCATCCTATGAACATGATTTTGGGGGAGATTTGTCGTTGTCCCTAGTGAAACAACCGGCTGAAAATCATCAAACAATGAAGTTTCCATCGAACGTCTTTTATCCCATATGGAGGGAAAGGTAAACATCGAGAAAACCTGAGAAGGTTGAAGTCACGGTCTTGCGACCGAGAGATCGGGTAAGGGAGTCTATTACGCGAGGGGAAGGTATTAGCACCCCACACGCCCGTAGTACTCTACGGTATCCATTCTTGTTGTCTATCTTATTGGTGTACTTAATCTATGCTTACTGTTTACTATACTACTAAAGGGAGAATGCATGCAAAATAAAGGAGAAAATAATGTAGGGAAAATAAAATTGTGCTCGCTTGAGCCCTACCCCAATGCCTACATATCCATTTTGAGGAATCAGAGCTACCGTAGTTCGGCGCATATGTTTTTGTTTATTTTGTGTTTTTTAATGGACAATGTTAATCCCGCCTTCTGCCGCAGCTCGATCTTTGGAGACTTATGCATTGGCACAGAAGTAAATTAATCACGTCCTTACCTGAAAAGGGTTTTAGAGAAAAGGTGCTTGAGCGCACAAATTTTTTTGAATTGGTTTGTGTTTTATTACCTTGAAAAAGGGTTTAAGTATGATTATCATGTTTTTGATTTGCTAAAGAAAAGAAGTTTTTGTTTTAGATGCAAGGATGAAAAAATGGGAAGAAAAGAGTCTAAGGGAGACTAGCCTATTTATAAACCTAATGTTATCATACAATGGTAGTCCTATGTCAAGGATGAAGGGGAAGTTTCTACCTACTGTTAGCATGCATGGTTTACAACCTAAGGTCTAACTTGCGTCCGAACGGAGCAAGCGCATCCTAAGGGAACATGGTATGTACAGGGATAAAGTTAACAAGCTAGTAAACTCAAGAGAGCACACCTAAAGAGATCCTATCTATGTTAGCATGCCGAAGAAAGTATGACAAAACTATCCTATATGGAACATGCAATGAGAGCAAAGTTGTGATCTCAATTTCTAAATTGAGTGACTCATCGATCAACAATAAAGAAAAGAAAGCGATAAAATCCTATAGGGAGCATGCACAGAGAGCAAAGTCGTGATCTCAATTGCTAAATTGAGTGACTCATCGATCAACAAGAATGTAAACAAACACAAGCATAACACATATAGCAAATGAAGTGCGGAATGCCTGCTACAGGTCTTTAAACAGCGACTTCGAGTGCACGCTCTTTATTTCCTACTTCACATGATTTCTAGAAAGCGGTAACAAAATGCAATAAAGTGCAAAGAAGTACAAGGGTAGTAGCGGAGACTACTAAAGCGAGCAAGTCGTCAAGAGCAGACAAAAGCGCTAGAGAAGCAGGGAATACGCGTCGAGCAAGCTTCACCAAGAAACAAACAGAGTCAGAAACAATATCCAACTAAGATAAAGGCAAACGCGTGTCGCGAATACAACACATAATCAGAAGTTCCTGCATAAAGCGTCATAAAATATCACATGCATTTTGACAACATACAATATGATATGAATTTCTCAGGACGATGAGAAATAAGGCATGTCGCATTGGACACGAGCATAAGCCACATGCTTCGATCACATAACTACTTGTTATGTTACATGATCGAAATCACCAAAAATGTACCAGTCTAGGTTGCTCCGACGGTGTTTCGGCTGCAATAATAAAAACTAGAAATTTGAAGAGGAGAAACTCAGGTATGAACTAGTTTTTGTACTTCATCTTCTTCCTCTGATTCCCGAATTCTTCTCTATCTTCTGTGTTTTTCTGCGAATTGATGTCTTGTGCGTTTGCGTATTTGCATTATGGTGATGTTGTTGTTGTGCAGTGTAGTGCAATGAAGATGTGATGCAGACTGATGACGATGAAGGTGATGATTTCTATGGTGAGTTTTTGGAAGATGAATTTGATGCAGTGACTGATGTACAAATCTTGAAGATGATTGAGGAACTGATGCAAATTCTGGAGTAAAAGATGAGGATGATATGGTAGAATCTGAGTGAGTGATGGTTGAAGATGGAGATTGTCGAGGGAGTCTTGTGGTGATTTTCTGAGATGAGTGAAGACTTGCGGAAGGTTGAAGAAGAAAGTAGAGAGAAGATGATAGAGTTTTTGTTCTGCTTTTTTCGGTGGATAAAGATGAAGATGGAGAATGAAGAAGGATCACTGGAAGAAGAAGGTGTGATCTTTCTGCAGAATGAAGAATCCCCCCAAAAATTCTGGTGAGTTTTCTGTATTTTGCTGTTATTGCTGTTAGGAAAAGTTAGTTACATGAAAATGAATTTCAGCTGTTAGATTTAAAAAAGTTAGTTAGATGGAATCAAATCTCAACCCTTGGATTAATAAAATCTGTTATGGGATTTTTTGCAGGGTCCTCCTTCTGAGTTTTCTTTTTTGCGTATAACATGAATCCCAGTTTCGTGATTCTTCCCAGGTGGTTGAAGTTGAGGCTCCAGGTTGCTCGAATGCAACAAGTTGATCATCTTTCACAGTTGAATGGAACACAAAATCTGGAAACATCGTAGTTACCTTAGATATGGTACAATCATGATTCTAACCGCTCCAGGATTTCCATTAACATAGACTCGCCACTCATCAATGTCAATATTACCATCTCTGTTCGTGTCCGCCTCCAAAAATGCCTTGTCTAGACTGTAATCTAATTCCTCATTTGTAGGTTCATGTTGAAACTCACGAAAAACTATAACAAGCATTTCCCTGACCTCTTGACGCTCTATTACTCCATCACCATTCAAGTCATATAGCTTAAATGAAAAATATATCTAGGCCTCGACTGGTGTATCCGAGTGGAAGACATGGAATACTTTAACGAAGTCAGCAAAATAAATCTTTCCTTTCTGCTTCAGATCAAATAGATTAAAGATTCGATATGCAAATAAATTTTGTCTTTGACTATCTTTGAAGAGCACTAATTTAAATTCTTCCTTGATTATTTTTCCGTCAGGTTCGATTGAATTACACATAGTCTTAAAAACATCTGTTAATGCTTCAACATCACTGACATAAAAAGCTGTATCTGCTGCAAGGGTAACTGGATTTTGCTGCCCAGGAAATCGTCCAATTTTGGCCTTAAAGTTGACACACCCCATTTTTATGAATTTCCCTTGATTACACTGATCACAGGATTAAAGTAAGATTTAATACAATGCAATCTGCGAAATTCCTCCTACAATGAGAACCAAATTCTTCAACTGAAAAATTCTTGTAAGAGAAATGAGTCTTGGAAGAGAATGCACTATAGTTGCTAAAGTGATAATAACTGTTTTCTTTTTGTTGTATAAATGTTCATAATTGCTTTGGATTGAAACAACAGGCATATATCATGGCAAGTTATGATATGCCAGTTTGGTCATGAAGAAGGTAATGAAGATGGAAGCAAACTAAAGTTGCACTTCAAACACGATAAGGCCACACAGAAAGCGATGATGAGAATCAATATGTGCATCTTTAAGTGTGTTTCTCATTTTTGTAGTATATTTTGGGATATTGCAAATGGTGTTGGATATTTGTAATGTACTGGGTGACTTAGATATATCATGGATTTGTAGTGATTTTCTCCTTGGGTCAACCTTTGAATGTAATTTGATTTTAATCAAAACCATAGTTAACTTTGAATCACTTTGCCTTCTTCCATCCATTTAATTTCGCTTGAAGTCCTCAATGTTCCTCTTAAACTTTGCTCAATCTGAATTTCCAATTCTTTGTTTCCATTTTTATACTTAAGTTGAATGAATATGATGAAAGTCCCAAAAGGGACTAAGAAAGACCTTCGCCAGAGTTCCCATTGAAAATCTCTTCACCTTAGAACGCAATATGGTGAACTCGGATGAACAATTCTAAACTAATCTTCAAGTAACAAAAACATTCAATTGACATCCCTCTTCCTTGTAAGCTACAAGTATAATAATGAACCCACAAAGTTATCCTTTGAGTCATGATTCAATATTTCTCAATTCAATCCATAATCCTTTGACTTGGTAACCAATGACCTCATAAATTACCATGTCTTGAAGAAATCTTAATTTCAATTCTCACGTCCAAGCTAACTTGCAATACAAGCAATCAAACAATTGAGAACAATAATACCCTTGATCACAATGAATTCACAACACCCTCCTTTTATCATGTTTTTCTATCCATCAAACATCCAGTAAAAATGTTGACAAACCCGAGTAAAATAGGATATAAACCCTAGATTCATAGCTCTAAAGAGGAAAACCCTGTGACCTGCTCTGGATATGGAAATAATAGCTTTGTAGCTTAAGGAGAAAGAAATCTCAATAACCACAGATCACAACCTTAATTCCTCTGAAGAAGGAATCGACCTTTATTGGATATGAACGCCTTAACCACTGTAAAACCCTAATCCTTCAAGATCTCTGGTCCCATGCTAAATTATTTATTAATGAATGAATGGCATTGTTAAATGACCTAATGAGAGTTTTGTATATGAGTAAAATGCGAGATGCGTAAGCCAGATAAAAGTAAACGGGGTAGGACAAATTTGGGGTATTACAGTTTCCCCTATTTAATCGTCTTATACTTGAAAGTACGATTGGCACATGCCTTTCGGGAGTTCAAGGTAGAAGATGATTAAATATCAATGCCAAAAATTTGTCCTGGGAGAGAGTATAAGTGTTTCTTTATTTGTTTTGTGATATCTGCTGGGGGAAATAATTTTTTTGTTTTTTTAGTGAAGAGACGGAGATTGGACTTGTAACGTAGCATGATGCCAATACAAGGAAGAGAACAGACTTGTAACGTAGCATGATGCCAATACAAGGAAAGGATCGGACTTGTAACGTAGCGTCATGCCAATACAAGGAAGAGATCAGAATTGTAACGTAGCATGATGCCAATACAAGGAAGAGATCAGACTTGTAACGTAGCATGATGCCAATACAAGGAAAGGATCGGACTTGTAACGTAGCATAATGCCAATACGAGGAAGGGACCGGGCTTGTAACATAGCGTCATGCCAATACAAGGAAAGGATCGGGCTTGTAACGTAGCGTCATGCCAATACAAGGAAGAGATCAGACTTGTAATGTAGCATGATGCCAATACAAGGAAGGGACCGGGCTTGTAACGTAGCATGATGCCAATACAAGAAAGAGATCGGACTTGTAACGTAGCGTCATGCCAATACAAGGAAAGGATCAGGCTTGTAACATAGCGTCATGCCAATACAAGGAAGAGATCGGACTTGTAACATAGCATGATGCCAATACAAGGAAGGGATCGGGCTTGTAACGTAGCATGATGCCAATACAAGAAAGGTACAACACAGACGAGTGTTTGAATCGATACGGACGAGTATCGAAAGAAGATACGGACGAGTATCAAGAAAGGTTAAACACAGATGAGTGTTTGAATCAATACGGACGAGTATTGAAAGAAGATACGGACGAGTATCAAGAAAGGTTAAACACAGACGAGTGTTTGAATCAATACGGACAAGTATTGAAAGAAGATACGGACGAGTATCAAAAGGTTAAACACAGACAAGTGTGTGAATCAATACGGACGAGTATTGAAAGAAGATACGGACGAGTATCAAAAGGTTAAACACGGACGAGTATTTGAATCAATACGGATGAGTGTTTAGGAATTAACACGACGAGTGTTTAGGAATTTACATGACAAGTGTTTAGAAGTTGACACGACGAGTGTTTAGGGAACTGACACAGACGAGTGTTTGGAGACCGACACAGACGAGTGCTGGGTATAGACTTGGCATATTGACTTTGCTGGAAATGAAAAGATGAAAGTGATCAACTGGGGGTTTCAGGAATGATATCCTCTTGTAGGGATGTATTGTTGTCCTTGAATGATTTAGGTCTTTCGTGTAAGGTACCTGATATGGCTTATGCTTCGTATGCATGTTTGAATTTCTTTTGCCGTAAAGATCCACTCTGATGTATCGGCTACGCGCTTTTGAGGATGCAATGTTATGCAGTGATAACTATATGCAATGCGAAGAAATAAACTTCATGGGGATAAGAGAAGGCCCATTAGGAACCGCTGCTCATTACTGGGGATGCCAATACATATCGACGCTGGAAGTCTGCAGTACCAAAGATCGTTGGGGATACCGATAAAAATTTCCACTGGGGAGCCCATGATACCGAAGATTATTGATGACTCTGCTGGAGACTGAGTCGCTGACGAAGCGAGCCTTCAGATACGCTGTTGAATTCTGAATCGTACCATTGGGAAAGAGATAATCTGGCCAGACTTCCATACATCCTGAACCATCGAGAGGATGATAGAACTGAATATACCGAAGAATGGTTATTGAACACCATGTGAATTTCTCCGAATATAAGCCCCAAGTTTACACACACTGAGGAATTATCTCCTGGATCATTTTGGGATAAAAGATGGGCATGGACACCTGTGAATGCCCTGGTTTAGCTCTACGAATGCCTCGGTTTAGCTCTGCAAATGCCCCGGTTTAGCTCTAGGAATGCCCCGGTTTAGCCTTGCGAATGCCCCGATTTAACTTTATGAATGCCCCGGTTCATCTTCACTAGGGATGTTCTTGATTAACTCCACTGGGGATGCACTTGCGCGTGCCGAGTCAAATGACGACTCCGAACTTTCTGAACTCACTTGGGGAATCAGATTTGAAGTTGTCTGCAGTAGATGAAGGCGGCTTCGTGTACTGGCTAGGTCAGGGTAACCATTACGAGTTTCTACCTGCAAGGAAACACAACACTTGGAATGCATACAACATTCCCACATGGTTATACATCGACGTAAAGTCAAGTTTCATCTCGGCTTGAGAATTTTTATTCCCCATGTTTCTAATGCAATGTTTAATAACAAATAAACATATTATGCATACGAAAACATTTCATGATAATAAGAGACAACTTTGATGAAAGAAGACTTTATTGAATGGCCTATGAATAGGCATTTGTACAAGGAGAAACTCCTATATGAGGTAGCAGTGAAAAATACAACAGGTATAAATGGCAATGAGAAATGCTCGAATTTCCATTAAAACTGATATTGCTACAGTTCCCATATCCTAGGTAATCTCAATGCCTTGCCTCTTAAGAGTAGTAGTTGGACCAGTCAATTCACTGCCAAGGTGCTATAGATATGCATGTGTCATTCGTGAAGAGCATTCAGACTACAGCCTCTCACTTAAGATCCCTAATTTTTGCTTGGATCTCCCTTTCGGGTTATCAACCCAACGGGATACCCATTTTTTCCTAAGCCGCCCTTCCTGGTTTTCAACTTAGCGGGTTGTTATCTTTTTCATTTTATCCCTAACTTTTTCCTGGACTTTCGTGTCTACCGGGATGCCCATTTTTTTGCCTAAGTCGTCCTTTCGGGTTTTCAACCTAGCGGGTCTCTTTATGCGTAGAATTTTTTGACTGAGTCTGAATTGACTGGGAGTGGAACGTCTTCCCATCCATGTCTGTCAGGATTAGAGCACCTCCTGAAAAATCTCTCTTCACGATATACGGTCCCTCATAATTGGGAGTCCATTTGCCCCTTGGATAAGAATGGCTTTGCACGATGACCCTCCTCAAGACCAAATCACCAGGATAAAAATTTCGAGGATGAATCTTTTTGTCGAATGCTCTTTTCATCCTTTGTTGGTACAACTGGCCATGACAGATGGCCGTCAGACGCTTTTCATCAATCAGATTAAGTTGGTCGAACCTTGTCTGAACCCATTCTGCCTCATCAAGCTTGGTCTCCATCAGAACCCTCAATGAAGGAATTTATACTTCGACAGGAAGCACGGCATCCATGCCATAGACAAGCAAAAATGGAGTTGCCCCTGTTGAAGTGCGCACAGACATTCGGTAGCCATGTAGAGAAAAAGGCAGCATTTCATGACAATCTTTGTACGTTCTGACCATCTTCTGGACGATCTTCTTTATGTTCTTATTAGCAGCTTTGACTGCACCGTTCATTTTTGGTTGATACGACGATGAATTCTGATGTTCAATTTTGAACTCTTCACACAATTCCTTCATCGTGTTGTTATTAAGATTGGAACCATTATCAGTGATGATTCTGTGAGGAACTCCGTAATGACATATGATTTCTTTCCTGATGAAGTTGG